GGTCTGTGGAAGTTGACTGGCGTCTGCTCGCAACCAGAGCCGCGCGCTTCTAGGGGGATCCCCACACAGACGAAAGGAAAACAGCCCCAACGAGGAAAACCAGGGCGAAGCAGAGCAGAAGCCCAAGCCCCTGTGGGCCCCGAAGCTTCTCGGCGCGTGCACCCAAGAAGTGTATTCGAGGGTGGCCACCGGCCCTGAAACCAACGGTGAGGATTCTGGCTTTACTGTGTGTTTGCTTTTGAGGTGGGATCTGCCGTGCAGGCTGGAGTGCGGGGGCACCTCACGGCTGCCACAGCCACGACCTGCAGGGCTCAGGCACTCCTTCCGTCTCGGCCTCCCAGGTAGCTGGGACGGCAGACGTGCTCCACCACATCCAGCTAATTTTTTGATTTTCTGCAGAGACAGGGTCTCGCTATGTGGCCTAGGCTGGTCTTGAACTCCTGGGCTCGAGGGATCCTCCTGCTGCAGCCTCCCAAAGTGCTGGGATGACGGGTGTGGGCCACCGCGCCTGGCGGAGGGCTTTGGTTTTGGGAACGTGTCTTCAAGGAACTAACCCTGGATGGAAAGCGGAAACACGAATGTAAGAAGTGAGGCCGGCTGGTGTGCCTGATGGAGCCAGGGAGCTCGGCTGTGGGAGGGATGGCAGGTCACCTGTGCAGCGCACGCTCTGTGGCCGGACAGACTCCTGGCCCACACAGTACCCTTGTCCATCAGCAACACGGAACGACCGGGCAGTGCTGGCGCCTCTCTGCTCACCACGCGTCCCCCACATCTCTGGCCGGCACTGCCGCAGGACAGCTGTCATCACAGCCTAGACAGGGGCACGGGTGGCGGTCTCCTTTCCCCAGGGCTCGGCTGCTCCCCAGCCCGGGTCACCGACTGGCTCTGGGGCAAGCGCGAGGGCCCAGGCGCCTGCTCAGCACCCTGGACACCCCACGACACGGGGACGGTCTCTGCCCTCACCATGCCTCAGTTTCCCTGTGCGCCCAAGGGTGAGGTCAGAGGCAGTGGCTGCCGAGGGAACTGCCTCAAGGTGGGCAGGCACGTGCCTTTCTTGAGGTCAGGGCCAGGCCAGCGTGTGGATGCCAGTGCCACGTGCAAGGCATGTGTCCTCCCCCACGGGTGGGTTCAGGACGTGTCTGTGTGTGGGCCACACGCATGTGACGTCAGCACTGACACTCGCCTGTGGGGACGCCCCCTCGGGCCTGGGCTGCCTTCCGGGTGGTCCCTCCAGGCACGGGACGGCCCCTGTGGGAGGCAACGACGTGACTGCCTCTCCAGCCCTGTTCTCTCCGACGTGAGACGCACCTGCCTGTCAACCCATAAGAAACGCTGGATCCCCCCACCGGGCGTGACCATGCTGGGAACCGCCATCCACAATGTCAGAGGAAGAGGGCCAGTGCGCCTGGAGCTGTGATCTGGAGCTATGGACTGATTCTGCTGATGCCACCATGGCCACACGCTCTCTTGGCAACAGCGTCACCCAGTGGGTTCAGAAAGGAGGATCTTAGCTTCATTTGAGACTCAGGAAGTCCACGTGCAGGTGAGTGACACCGGGATGCTGGGTGATGGTGAGATCGGGATGTCAGACAGTACACAGGGTCCACAACAGAAGCTTTAAGTCTCCCCCTCCCTCCCTGCCCTGAGTCCCAGCGCCCGTGTTTCCATCCACAGGTGTCTTCACAGACGGCCTGCCCAGCCCTGAAGCCCTGGGCATTCGCATACTCCCCGTCGTCCTAGTGTCTCTGGTCTGGCCTTTCCCGGCGAATCTTCCAAGCCTGTGCTCTAGTACCAGACAGATTAACTGCTCCACGGGTTTTCATCTTACTGGCACTGACCCAGCCCTCCGGTCTGCTGAGGCGTCTTTCGTTCTGATTCTCTAGACTGGCACACTAGCAGCCTTTCTCGGCGTCCTGAGAGCCACAGGCCTTAGGAACTTCCTCGACTGTCAGCCCAGACACTGGAAGAAATACGAACCCAACGGCAGACTCTGATGACGTAAAATTGAAAGTATCTGAGTCTTGTGTCTTCCCTGTTGATGGGTTGGCTGAATCTGTGTCCCACTGTGAGGAAGAGACATCTGCAGACGAGGAAACGGAGGCTGCGAAGGGCAGACAGCCTGGCTCAGGGCCGTGCCGCCAGTAGGTCGAGAGGTCGAGAGAAGCGTCTCTTGGTCTCAAAACTGTCTCGCTCGACTTTCTGGCTCACAGTTGACAGGACGAATTCACCAGGTCTCTCCACTAGCTGTCACCCATGCAGGCAAGCTGATGGCCATTTTTAAAAGACTTGCATTACGGAAGAGACAAAATCCAACTACCCTACTTGCAAACAAGCCATTTTTACCCCAAAGCCATTCCTGTGAGCACATGACAAGAGCCAATCAAAAACCTGCAGGCAGAGCCTCAAACAGAGACCCCCAAGACGAGGACAAAAGCTTGGGTTTGTTCTGCAGCTGCCAGGACTTCTGCATCTTCACAACTGCACATCCCACAGTGAAAGCCACAACCTGCCGTGAGATGTCAAGTGGTCACAGCCCTGCCGGGTGACCCACGACGGGACACAGGAACCAGGTGTCACGTTCACATGCCGGACAGATGTGTGCGTGGCCCATGGCTCGGTATGCTTTCTCTGTGAAAATTCTGAGGCAAAAAGTCCTTCCAAAAAGACAGTGTGCACACCAGAAAAGACAAACGCATGTGCCTGGCCAGCCCTGCCAGAGCCAGCCACCAAGTCCTCTGGGTCTTTTCATCGTCTGTGCACATCTTACTTCTATTGGCACAACAGAGTCATGCTTTTCCCCTTAGAAATGTACACCCCAAGATGGGGCACAGTCCCTGTCCGTGCTGAAAAATTTTCTTTTTTTTTTTTTTGAGTTCGCCTAGGCTGGAATGCAGTGGCATGCTCATGGCCACTGCAGCCTTGACCTACTGGGCTCAGATGAGCCTTCCATCTCAGCTTTCCAAGTAGTTGGAACCACAGGTGCACACCACCACATTCAGTTATATTTTTTTAATTTATCTTACAGATGAGGTCTTACCAAGCTGTCCAGGTTGGTCTCAAAACCCTGGGATCAGGCAGTCCTCCTGACTCTGCCTCCCACAGTATTGGCAGTACAGGTGCGAGTCACCGTGCCCAGCGAGAAAATAATTTTCTATTTCTAATCACTCCCCTCTAAAATTGTCTTTCTTTCCTAATGTAACAGTGAGCACACTGTAATTGCAATGACACTGCATTTTAAGAAAGGCAGAGGTTGATTTAAATTCATCTTTTTCTTTCCAATAAATAAACTTCAGGGCTATAGAGCATTAACATAAAAGTACAAGCGAAAGGTTGAAGAATACAGTCTGTGTGTTGAAAGCTAAAAGTAATTTCTGTTCATAAAAGAGAAAAAGCAGCCGATCAACAACGTGGTCCCAGCAAACAAAATGTCCAGTTTCCGGTGTTTGGAAGCAGTTTTAAATAGGTCAATTTTTCTTTCTATCTTTCTTTAACACAGCTTTGCCCAAGATATGGGTCCTTTCCGCTTAAAAGTTTCACATCCCACAGCTCAGACAAGTCGCAAGGAAAGGCAGGCCAAACAACGGGAAGACTGAACGGGTGTCCTCAGACATCTAGGAGGTTGACTGGACAGAGACACGGCTAAGTTCCCAAATATCTCTTTTATTTGTGTGGCTGCAAGAGCAGGTGACTTGACGAGGGATGTGATTCTGAAATGCATCCAGGAAGTAAGTTCTACATGGTGAATGTAAATAAAGTTCGCTCAATTGTAAGTACAATTATAGTAGGAAGAATTCATACCCACCTGTAACTATATTTTAAAATTAAAAAAAACTGGATGAAATACCTAGTATTTCTGCCACAGAGGACCTGCAAAGTTATGAGACACGGTTCTCTTTGTTCTCAACCTTATCTTGGTATGTGTAGCCCAGAAAATAGTAAAGTTTGTAGACATTGTGTCTGTGCATTCAACATGAATTAAGCACCTTGGGCAAGACTGTAAAGACACAATCCCAGCATGCAGTGCAAACGGCGCGCCTGTGCATTAGAGGGTGGTCGCCACCCTTTCTAGCATCAGGGACCAGTTTTGTGGAAGACAGCTTTTCCACGGACGGTGGTGGGGGAATCAGGAATTAGATTCTCATAAGGAGCGTGCAACTCACAATGGGGTTCGTGCTCCCTTGAGAATCTAATGCTGCTGCTGACTTGACAGGAGGCGGAGGTCAGGCAGTGATGCCAGCAGCGGGGACAGGCTGGAAGCACAGACAAGGTTTCACTCACTTGCCTGCTGTGCAGCCCGGTTCCTAACTGGCCACCAGCGGTAGGGCTGGGGACTCCTGCATCAGAGCACGGGCTAGGGAGGTGTCCCAGGTGACAGGAGCTGTGCTTATTACCTTGTGTCTTCACGGGGTCTGAAATCTGGCTCGGGTCACTGATGCCATAGGCGTTTGCTGCCCGCACGAGGAAGAGGTAAATGGCATTGGGCTTGAGTCCCTTCACGGCAAACGTCTCCGTCTTCACACTCTCTGCCACAGTCTGCCAGCTGCTGCCCGAGGCGTGGCTGTGGAAGGACTCATGTTAGGACACGCTCACGTGATGGGACATCGGAGAAGGAACAGCCAGGTCGACGCCTCCGCCCACCTGAAGGCTTCTATGACGTAGGAGGTGGGCGTCGCTCCTGAGTTCAAGTTTGGCTGCCACGAGAGCGTCACCATGTTCCTGCCGACGTCTGTGACTTCGGGCTTGGAGGGGGCACTTGGGATTAAGTTAGGGTCTGTGGGTCTTGGCGGCTGCACCGGAACTCCAAATTCTAGCACGCGGGAGAAAGACAAAGAGAGACGTTGACATGTGTACAGATAGGCAAGTGACGCAGGCAGCCCCATCAGGTTCGCACGTCAGCCCCCTGGCAAGGGCACGGCTGCCCAGAAGCTCTAGCCCAGGTAGGATGTCCTCTCCATGGATGCCCTCCCCACACCCACAGACAACGCAGGGCTCCCACGTCAGCCCCTTCAAGGACACAGCTGCCTGGAGTCTCCAGGTCAAGCAGGACGCCCTCCCCAGAGCCACAGGCCATGGGGCTCACACAACAGCCCAAAAAGGACACGGCTGCCTGGAAGCTCCAGCCCAGACAGGACACCCCACCCCCTCACCTTGGACCTCAATGTACGCGCTCCAGGTCGCCTCGCCGCTGGGGGTGGACGCTATGCAGGTGTACCGGCCCGTGTCGCCCAGCTGAGGAAGAAACGGAAACAAGTATTTGGGGCCAGTGTGAGCTCACGGGGCTGGAACAGCAGCCACAGGGCCACGTGTGGTCCAGGGACATGGACAAGTGCACTCAAATCTGCAGAAGCCTCCTCTTAATTGAATCGATTGTCTTGCACACAAGGAACATATTTCACGAACACAGAACAAGACCTGATACAGTTATTCCAACTGTACAGTGAAAACATAATATTCGAAATGTCGTTGTCAGCGTCAGGGAGAAGGCCGAGGGCATGTGACTCAGCTCAGAAGGTTCATACGGATGACGGAACTGCATCCTGCTTATTGAGTCACAGAGCAAGGCCAGTCAAGTTTGGCCCATGGCCATTCTTGCTCTTCCGTAGTTTATCAGAGTCATGCCTGCATGACTCTATGGGACAAACAGATGTTTATGAACAAAGGATGGGCAAAAGGAGTGTCTCCTTAACGTAGTCACCATTTCCCCCCCATTTCTGCTGAACCTCTAACTCTGGCAGCTTAAAGTCAAACTCCAGCTGAACATACATTCTGTCCCTTCCAGAGACTGGATGACAGAAGACAAAGGCAGGTCACACGTGGGACATCGTCAGCAGCACATGGCTCTGCTTCAGCTAGCAACCATTTGCAAGGACACTTTGTCAAACCAGGACGCTGTCCTCTTGCTCTGGCCATTGCAGTAACAAAGCTACCACAGTTGCCACAGAAACACATGTCAACTCTCGCATGCAGTGAGCTGCGACGCTGGTCCCAAGTCCAAGGAGGCCGCCCCCAGCAGCCCTCACAGCAATGGAAACGTATGTCTCCTGTGGCCAAGACTGATGTTCCTATGCTCAGGGACTTCTGATTTTGACCTAAAAAGAAGATGAAAACGCAACCCACGCCACCCCACCCTGAAGGACAAGGGGCGGTCGAGACGCCCTGGGAAGGTGAAGCCTGGCACAGCTCAAAGCCCGTGGCTTCCCACCAGTTCCTGTCCTGATCTGAATGTGCACAGTGTGGACATGGCCACATGGCTTCTGTCTGCGTGCACTGGATGGTGAAATGCCAAACCACATATGCACCGCAGAAGAATGGCACGCGCACGTCGCGTAGCACACAGCCCTGAAAACGCCCGGCATGACCCTCACGAGAGTGACACCAGGCAGCCGGGGGGGGGGGGGGGGGGGGGGCACTACCTCCCCCGCCAGTCCAATAACACCAGGCTGTTAGACTCCCTCTCCTCTTCCATCTGATCTTCAGTTACTTGCCATGGGCTAGGTTCTGAGTCTGATCATTGCAGCCACGTACAATGAAGAATTTGAAAAATAAAGCTCCAAATTAAAAACACACGAACACTTCTGATTGTGCACATCATTCTTTCCAAACTTTACAAGGGGACAGCTCACTACTGGAGGCAAAACCAGAGTGGAGCATGCAGCGGCCAGGCCTGGGCCCTTCTGGTACCTGGATCCTCTTGAGGACAGGGCTACTCCTGGTCCCCCAGCCCTCCCAGGCCCTGCCCCCCTCCGGTCGCCGGGCCTCTCCCAGCACCCTACCCGCCAGGTACCCGAGCCGCTCCAGGTACCTTGGCGTATCGGATCTGCAGCAGTCCACTCTCCAGATGCTGGATGCGCGAGTCCTGGGTGGGGACGAGGACCCCGTCCTTCCTCCACAGAATCGTGGGCATGGGACTGCCTGTGGCCACACAGCTGAGGACAAGTGTGCTGTCTACTGCCACGGTCTGGTTCACAGGACCCTGCCGGATGACCGGGGGAGGCCGGTCTGCCACCACTGCAGGAGAAACACAGGAGATGGAGCTTGGCCAAGGGTAGCGGCGTCCTCATGGTCCAGGAACAGCAGCTGCTCTCAGCTCTGAAGCAGGCTCAGGAGAGCGACACAGGAATTAAAGAAAGAGACACACTATCGGAGCGCATCCCTAGGACGCACTGAGCCCAAACATAAGAAGAGACACAATGTCAGCCATTCAGATGACGTGCCTGCTGCTGTGTCCGGAAAAGCGTTCAATAAGCACGATGGAGCTGGGCTCGGTGGCTCAGCCTGTAATCCCACACCTTTGGGAGGCTGAGGTGAGTGGATTGCCTGAGCCCACAGGTTCGAGACCCGCCTGGGAAACTTGACGAGACCTCATCTCTACAATAAATCAAAAAAATCAGCCGGCCATGGTAGCGCATGCCTGTAATTCCAGCTACTCGGAAGGCTGAGGCGGAAGGATTGCCGGAGCCCAGCAGGGGAGGTTGCGGTGGCCGGGAGCGGCCACTGCACTCCAGTCTGGGCGACTGAGTGAGACTCCAACTCAAAAAGAAAAAAAAAAAAGCACGATGGGATGGGGGACAGTGATGTGTACACACAGTGGTCATCAGGGGAGGTGTTTAGACTCGAACATAGGCAAAGATCAAACACAACACAAAGCCATGCCTCCCAAGAAAACACCCGAGACGTTTTAATAAATGCAACCAACCCAGCTTGACTGTTCATAACTGTTTTATGTCCAACAGGAAAAGAGAGAGGGTGCCGTGTCAGCGTGTTTACGGTTCTGGGCTCAAAAAGGTGCTCTGGACTTCCATAATTTACACACTAATGTGACTAGCCTCCCTGCATCTCTGTATCTACCAATTCTTTCTATTAACATACACATGGGTGAGAATGACCCAACTATAACACATTCAAAGAAATGGGAACATGGCCCAAAAGCACTGCTGGGAGGCTCAAGCAGAGGCCCCGTCAAGGCTTCGTCCCCACTTGGCAGATACCACACTCTCCCCGGGACAGCAGGATGGGCTGATTCTGACACCCCAAGTAGCAATTTTCACATTCAGTAGAATGTCACAGTGCGAGGCAACTTCATCAGCTCTAAGAAAAAGTATCCCCATTATTATGTGAAAACCCTAAAACCTAAAATCTTTAACTGGAGTCAGTCGTTTTTTATGGAAAAATCTAAAACAACTGGTAGAACTGGTAGGCCGTGCCCGGGAGAAGTGTTATCATCTCTGACTTCAGTGATTTATGGGACGCTCCAAAGACACTGTCAGTGAATCAAAAGAAAAAATTGAAATTTCAGTAATTTTTATTAATTATTGAGTTGTAACATTCTGGATATTAATTAGAAATTTATAAACAGACACAAATGTACAGGGGAAGGTCCTAAGCAGCCAGGTTAAAGAAAACTGGTTGTCCAGGCAACCGCATCCTGGATGCAATCATTTTCAAAGCTGGATGTATTGTGTTCAAAGTTTGATGCACCAAAGACTTTCACAAGCTGGAGTCACTCTTCAATTTGTTCCTCATTTTTCATGCAATAATTATTAGCTTTGTGCATTCAAACTTAAATGGTGGGTGAGGCAATGACTGCACTCCAGCTTGAGCTTCTTGGCCCTCCACGCCTCGGTGGCAGGGACCTGCGGGCACATAGAAGGCTGAGTCTGAAACCTGGCGGGAGTGTCTGAGACACTCCATGGTGGAATCCTGTAAGCCAATACATTCCTTTCCTTAGCATGTTTACGTCTTCTCTACATTATCTGTTGAGATCGACTAAAGTCAAATTAGAGTTTCCTCCAGATAAGTATGTAAAAACAATAAAATATCTTATTGCACTGGGGTTTTTATAAGACCCATGCTGTCAGAATGTCCCCTTGATGTAAGAATGGATAAGCATGTATTTCCAGACACTAACTGTAGAGAGCTTCACCATAACAGATTATAACCAAGTTCCGTAAAAGCGTGGTTTATACTTGGTCACCTTGTCACACTCGGAGGCAGTCCAACGTCTGGGGACTTATCCAGGTTTCTGCATCTTCATGGTTCCTTCATGCTGGCATAATTCGGCCCTGCCCACACCTCCCATGCCCGCCTACTGATGCCCTTTCTCTGGCATTTATTTCTGCACAGGTGCAACGTGTAGTTCACAAAAACAAAGCCAGCAAAGCATGGGCTCCACCTGCTTTTTGTCTTTGGGCAAGTTCCTTAAGTTCTCCATGCCTCCGTGTTTGAATCTGTCAAAGAGGGACAATGATGCTTGTCCCACTGGCTCAGGGACTGCTCTGAAGACAGACGCGGGATAACAGATGTAACCGTGCGTGGCGCTGCACAGGGTCGGACGTGCGCGTGCGTGTGCGGCAGCAGCTCCACCGGCTGTTCTGGTAAAAAGCTTGTATGCAAATCAGAGGTGAGAGATTTCAGGGTTCGTTCAAGCAACTCGTGTTTTTAGGGAGAGAAAGAGAAACCTTTAGATGCTGTCTTGGGCTAGAGTGGAATACGACGAAACGCGTCAACTAGCACACCTGAAAACGCAGAGACTTAAGAGTCAAACCTAAACACAGAAGGAGACAAGTCTCACCCGAGGGTCAAGGATCAGGCCTTGAACTAGCAGAAGGAACGATCAGGCCACTGAACGGAAAGTGTGGAAAACAGAAATGTGCAACGCTGTGGGCAGCTGCGTGACTCTGAGTCTCTAGAGAGCGATGGGGCTGCGCCGTGGAATGCCCACACCTTTTCTTCCTGCACAGCGGCTGACAGCGGCACATGGCCCTGGCCACCAGGGGGTGGATGGTGACTGAGGAACTGGGTGAGTAGCTTTACTTAATTGTAAGCAGCTTCAACTCAAGTTCAAAAAGCCACAGGAGGCAAGTAGCGACCCCACTGGACAGCCCAGACTTATGTTTAAATATCATTTCTGCCACATATTCTTGGAGTGATTTACGTACCCCCATCCACTGACTCAGTTTCCACATTGGCAAAATAAGATGTTGCCCAAATAAGATTCAAGACCATTCGTGTGTGAAAAGTTCTTAGCATAGTGCCTGGCATTATTAAAAGATAAGTAAACTTATCTTTTAACTGATTGATAAGAACAGTTGCGTATTACTGCATTAGTATAAAAGCAACAGTGGTCACTGGCAGTGGAATGGGTGTGACAGGTGGGAAATCCAGGTCCAGACGGGCTGTAAAACGTCACCGGCCTTTTCCTTGCATTCAGTGATGGACTTCAAGATGCCCCAAAATGAGGGCATGAACATCAGAAGGTAGTATTTTATCAGCTCAAAAATAATGATCATGAAGACATGTCAAGACATGTAAATGTATTTATGAAATAATCTTAAGTGAAACAAGAACAGAAGATGGCACTCACACACCGACTGGTTCACGTATGAAAAATTCACACCAACAAACGTCAGAGCCATCACAGCTGTCATCCACTCATGAAGTGCTTTCTAACATCCTTCTTAGACATCCAGGAATTAGGCTGCAAACTACTGTTATTTCATTTTAGAAATCAAACCGGGAACTCCGGCAGCTCAAGAGACTTGTCCCAATCAAGTCTCCCTTTTCTAAATAATTAAGATAACGCTTTGCGTAACTATAGCTTTTGTTATACAACTTTTGTGAGATGAATACAAGTGATTTCAATTTTATGCATCCTGCAATAATCCTTCAATTTATTTTTTTCTTATATCCTAGTAATAAAGAGAATATGGATTTTCACCTAAGGAGAAGCCCCGAACGTGTGTCTGGGTAAAATGCCACCCGGGGCAGCTTAGCCTAGAAAAGCTCATTCCGGAGAGCAGCTGCTCTGGGCATTGTGTCTCCTTCTGCCTTTGCCTCGGCTGTTGGCCAACAACAAAGAGGGTCAAGAAGCTGTCAACAGGCCCAGAGGCTCCGGCTGGCAGTCATCCTCCTCTCACAGTCAATGTGGTTTTATCTGTGAACATGAGTCCATCGTTGTAAGGTGTTTGTACGTCAATAAACTCCAAAGTAAAAAATTAAAAAGTAAACTTTAAAAAATAGCACCGGGGAGGGGAGCGGCTAGACAATAAAAATAAACTAAAAGTTGGGGCGAACTGGCCACCAGGGGTGAGTTCCAAATTCACAAATTCAGGGGAATTGTGTTTGTGTTTGTAATTTAGTAGAAGTTCTATGCATAATCGAGTTTCACAAATACAAGCAATTTGTGACAACACCACGTCAGCTGCCACGCAGAGATCTGTGCTGTCAATTATAATTATAAACATGGCAGGTATGTGAGAAGATATCCCCACAGGGTTTTGGGGTCTTTTCTCGTGGACACCCACTGCCTTACAAAGTTGTAGTTACAACTGTCTGTTTATGCGCAAGTCTTTGCACTACCCTTTCTTGACTAAAGTCATCATGCTGGCTAGCGTCATCATTGTCAAGTTCATTAGGATGTCTTCCCAGTCACGGTTTAACCACTGCAACGGGCTTCAGACACCGTAAAAACATTCTAGGCCATTCCAGCGGACTGGAGGCAGCTCCTGTACAACGTGCACAAAGGTGGGGTCAGTGGGAGCCTTTGGGGAGACGGCCCCACCGCTGGGAGCACTCAGCCCTGAGCAGTCCCTCCTCCCTGTTTCTGTGTTCCTCCCACTCATTCAGAGAGTATCTACGGCGGCTACATGCCAGAGCCTGACTGGCCACGGGGTGTCTGTCAACCTGTACTGGCAGACCGGGGTCCTGCACTCCGGGAACTTGGTGTCCCCATGAAAAACAGAAGGACGTAAACAAAGAAGACAGAAATGCACAGGACGCAGCACCTGTGGAGGGCTAGGGTGTGAGCCTCCATCTAAAGAGCGAGAGCACGCATCTCAGAGGGAACGGAACGGTGAGTCAGTGGGAGTGGCCTTTGCCGAAGCCTCAAGACAGGCGGGGGGCACAGCGGGCTGGAGGGAGCCAGAAGTCGCCCGCAGCACAGGATGCCACGCTGAGCCCGCGGGGTCCCGCGAGGAGCGGCGACGCCACTGAGGAAGGTGACCGTCACCGTGGATATGGGAACGATGGCAACGAGATCGTTTTAAAGCATTCCTCTGGAGCACCTTCTTTTTTATTTTTGGAGAGGGGTCTTGCTCTGTTGCCCAGGCTGGAGTGCAGTGGCTCGATCACGGCTCACCGCAGGCGCCACCGCCTGGGCTCAGGTGATCGTCTTGGCTCATCTCCTGAGTAGCTGGGACCTCAGGTTCACAGCACCATATCTGGCTATTTTTATTTTTATTTTAGAGGCAGGCTCTCACGATGCTGCCCGGGCTAGTCTCAAACTCCTGGCCTCAAGGGATCCTCCTGCCTTAGCCTCCCAAAATGCCAGGATGACAAGTGTGAACCACTGGACCTGGTCGCAGAATTTCTTGAAATTCAAATGTATCTATAAAAATCTTAGCCAACATTGTATTTGATGGTGACATATTTAAAGCTTTCCGCAGGTCGGGCGCAGTGGTTCATGCCTATAATCCCAGAACTTTGGGAGGCTGAGGTGAGAGGATCACCTGAGCCCATGTGTTCGAGACCAGCCTGGGCAACTTGGCAAGACCTCATCTCTACAATAAATCAAAAAATTAGCCGGGTGTGGCGGCACGTGCCTGTAGTTTCAGCTACTTGGAAGGCTGAGCGGAAGGACTGCCTGAGCCCAGCAGGTCAAGGATGCAGTGGCCGTGAGCGTGCCACTGCCCTCCAGCCTGGGTGACAGAGTGAGACTCCAACTCAAAATAAGGAAGGAAGGAAGGAAGGAAGTTAGCTTTTCCCATGAAGTTAGGATCAAGAAAAAGATGTCCACTATCACTAATTCTGCTCACTTTATTGTAGGACAAGGCAATGCAGGACAAGCACGACCTATAAAAGATATTAATATTGAGAGAAAGAAGCAAAACTGTCTCTATTTGCAGTTGACACATTTTGTTTATAAACATTTCAAAATAAGCTACCTTCAAACCATTAAAAATGAGTGGATTCAGCAAAGTTGCAGGGCAAAAGGTTAATATACAAAAGTCAATTGTGCAATTAGGCACCTTACACGATTCAATAATAAAATTATATATATATATATATATATAGTGTTGCATCAAAAATCATGAAACACCTTAGGTATAAATCTTCTAAAATGCGTGCAAGACCTCAACCCTGAAAACTACAAATTATTGCTGAGAGAAATTAAAGGTCTAAATAATTGAGAGTTTTATGTGGTATACACTATATCTCTGAATAAAAAGACTTAGGTTGTTAAGATGCTAATTCTCTTTAAGTTATTCAATCATTTAAATAAAATCAAAATTTAAAACTCAGGTTTTTTTTGTTCAAGGAGTAGGTGTGTGCATATGAAATTTTGACAAGTTGGCCAAGCACAGTTGCTCACACTTGTAATCCCAGCAATTTGGGAGGCCAAAGCAGGAGGATTGCTTGAGGTCAGGAGTTCAAGACCAGCCTGGGTAACACAGTGAGACTCTATTTCTGCAAAAAACAAAATAAAATATAAAGGTAGCACACTTGGGGCAAAAAAATTTTTTGACAGATTTCACAATTTATAAGGAAATGCAGAAGATGTCCAACAGCAAACTTGCAACAAGAAAAACAAAGCTAGAGAATTGCACCACAAGCTTTCAAGATAAGCTGTAATGCTACAGCAACTAAGGCCATAGGCGCTGGCATAAATAGATCAGAAAAGAACAGAACAGAAAAGAAAGACCAGAAGGAGGCCCACACATCTATGTTCACTTGAACTGTGAAAAAAAGCCTCTACAGTTCGGTGGGGGAAAGGATAGTCTTTTCCATGAACGACACTGTAACAATTCATTTTCATGTAGGAGAAGTAAAAATAATTTTGACTTCTAACTCACACTGTATGCAAAAATTAATTCAGGATGGATCAACAACTTGCATTTCAAAGGCATAAACAATCGAGCATCTAGAGAACAACAGGGAAAGATATCTTCATGGTCTAAAAGTAAGACAGAACACTAAAAGCACAAGCCATTTAAAAAAATGCACTGTTCCTCGTTAAAACAGTTATTTAATCCTCAAAATCCTCATTCAAAGAATGACCAGGAAGCAATAATCTCTCTCTCTCTCTCTCTCTCTCTCTATATATATATATATATATATATTTTTTTTTGTAGTTTTCGGGATAGAGGTCTTGCATGCATTTTAGTAGATTTATACCTAAGGTGTTTTACGATTTTTGATGCAACACTATATATATACACACATATATAATTTTATTATTGAATTGTATTATTGAATTGTATAGATACATATCTGTGTGTATTATATATAAATATATAATATATAAAACCAATAAGTTATATATAATATATATCATATAATATAATCATATATAAACAAAGACCTGTATTTTCAATAAATGAGTAAACCAAAAGAAATGAGTACACATGCCCACCAAAAGGAAAACCAAGGTAACTGAATGTACACACTCCCCAAGATGGACAGAAATATTTAATAATAATCCTCAACAGAAAACAACCCATCAACAGAAGAGCACATACACATACCATGATCTGTTTACGCCATGGAAGATCACGCAGCAAGAAAGCAGAATGAACTACTGATAGAAACACGGGTGAACTTTACTGACAGTGTCTTGAACCCAAGATGTTACACATAAAAGATTATCCACTGTATGTCATTGGGCTGAGTTTCAAGAACAGGCAAAACAAATCAGTGATGATGGAAGTCAGAAGAAGCGATGTCTCTGCAGAGAGCGGCTTCTTGACGAGAAAGGAGGCGAGGCAGCCCGGGTCCTGGAAGGGACCCCATGCGGAGCCAAGCGGTCGCTCCGTGTTTCCAGCCATCAAGCTGTGCGAGTCTACTGTACTGACTTTACAGCACGGACGAGGGGCTGAAGGTTACCTGGGTGGGAGAAGAGGGGGTTCGAGGGGAAAATACTGCCGCCACAAGAAGAAAGTGGGGGAGACGGCAGGAGGAGGAAGGGCGCGTGCTGGTGCAGCCCTGGCCTGCAGATGGCGGGCACTGGGGGGGCCCACAGAGGTGGAGTCAGGGTCACTGAGCAGACACAGGCGACAAAGGGGGAGGGACGGAGGTGGCCACAGCTTCCAACTGGAGAAGTAACTGCCAGGACAGTGATTCAGGGTCTGGAGCTTAAAGAGGCCGGCTAAACACTGAGAGCAAGCTGTTCCACCCTTATTATTTCTCCTCCATTTTCTCCCCTGAGAGACAAGGTGTTTCTTTAAGTGCTCTTACATCTACTTTTTGGAACTGAGAGTTAACAATGATTCCAATCACTCTGATGAATCTGGTTTTAGAAGTCGCAAGCCCTTTCCGCTTTATGCTTTTAGTTCTATTTTTAATTTGGAGCACTTCTTTACTTAGAATACTTTCATATGATAAGTATTATTTTCACACGTAGTGAGGACACCCCCAAAACAGGAATTTATTGATAAAGAAGTGTGCATTTATTCTTCCATGGTTTTTTTTTTTGAGTTGGAGTCTCACTCTGTCGCCCAGACTGGAGTGCAGTGGCTGCTCCCGGCCACTACAGCCTCAACCTGCTGGACTCCGGCGATCCTTCCGCCTCAGCCTTCTGAGTAACCGGAACTACAGGCGCGCGCTACCACGCCCGGTTGAATTTTGATTTATTGTAGAGATGAGGTCTCGCTGCCCAGGCAGGTCTCGAACCCACGGGCTCAGGCAATCTACTCACCTCAGCCTCCCAAAGGCGCGGGATGACAGGCTGAGCCACCGAGCCCGGCTTTATTCTTCCATGTTTAAACTTCAGTCACCTTCAAAGGATTCTCCATTTGATGCAATACACCTATCGAGACACTTTTTCCACTGCTCAAAACAACTTTTGAACTTGTCGCTTTTGATGTCTTTTAGTGCTTTGGCCCTTTTTTATTTCACCACCTCCACATCGGAAAATGCTTCCCTTTGAGAACGTCTCTCATCCAGAAAAAGAGAAGACGTTGCTCGAGGTGAGACTGGGTGAGGGGAGGGTGAGGCCTAAGGAGCATGCCATTGCTGGTCAAAAACAGCTGAGCGCTCAGCACAGTGCAGGCAGGTATGCTGTCATGGTGGAAATACCAGTTACGCGTTTGCCAAAACTCAGACGTTTCTTCAGCAAATCAGGATGCAGCCTTCTCAAAACTTCCAGATAAAAACTTTGGTTGACCATTTGATCTGGAGGGACAAATTCTGGGTGTACTACATGGACCTACTCTCCAAAAGATAATTCTAGTTTTTTGGGGTCCCCAGTGTATTATATATTTATATATGCATATAAAATAAGAACATAAATATATAAAAACTCCTATAACTATGAACATAATTATATAAAATATATAAAAATTTCGTATGTTTATGTGTGTTTTTTCTCCTCCTCCTCCTCTGTCTTCTTCTTCCCAAATTATCCCCCAATTCATCTGATGGTGTAGAGATTTTGTCTATCTCTCGGCCTTTACATGCTTGGCATGAATTGAGCACATTTAGGGCAGCTGATAGAATAAAAGCACATTAAGAAAAGACTGCAAATTATCGCAAGCTGTGAGTGGTTGGATTTTAGATTTATGACAAATATGCCTTACCAAATTTAGAGGAAAGAGAAGAGACAGTAATTTGCACTAAGAGATGATAAAATAATTTTCTGGGTAACCGTCTTGGGTCCCCTCCCACTGTGGGAGCTCTTCTGGTCTCTCAATAAATCCTGCTTTTAAAATAAAATAACTTCCTGTTTTCCAAAACACGGAAATGTTCCTGTGTACAGCTATTTAAAGTAAACGTCTTAAGTAACAGCCACGCTTTTATGAACCTGACAGATGCTAGAAACTGCAGCACATTTAAGTTAAACTATGAACAATTTTGACTTGTCATTGTGTCAACACCTTCTTAGTTTTACACGAAGACAGTTGTACATCAAGGGGTGAGGCAGGAAGGAAACGCGCTGACAGGCACTCTCTTTAGAGTCTACGCAAACACAGACACTGTGAAGTAAAATGCTCTACTTTACCATCCGTGACTTCTAGGTACGCTTTCGTGATGATGCTTCCAGCAACGTTCAAAGTCTGGCAGATGTAATAGCCAACGTCAGACCGCTGGACGTTGGTGACGGTCAGGTCACCGGTCTGCGACACCGAGAACCGGCTGGTTGACTGTGGTGGCTGATACGAGAACAGCAGGTTCTGGGCCCGGAATTTGGAGAGAAGAACAGAACCAGGTTAATTACTGGGCTCCAATATGGAGCCATGAGAATAAGCGTGTTTAAATACATGTGTGCACACGTATACATGCACACATGCATGTATATGCATACACAAATGAGCTAGACAGTCCATCACACGCCCAAGAGACAGATGTGCACACACACAAATACAAACTTGCATACACGCATATGTGAACAGGGTTTATTAATGTAACACCAAATGGGGTCATCTGAAAACTTCAGTAACTCCAAACATGGGTATATGCGTCTATAACTGTCAGTCTGCAAGCAATACCAGACACATAAGCACATAGGCATGATTAAAGTAAAAACTTCTTGCTTCACATACACATGACCACTAGGGGTATAAATATAAGACCTTTAATATGTAAACAAAATTAAAATTTAAACAAATTCTGACATTCCATTCCAAGGGAAATGACCTTGGCCTATACCAAGCTTTTAACCCTTATGTATCTGTTTCTCCTATTAAATGATCAGAGCATCTGTCTTCATTCATACATCAAATTTAATCAAAAGAGCATGCTTCTTCAAGAGGGTGTATGTTTCACACAAAATAATATATCATGCTACTGAATTTCATGAAACAAAAGGTGTCAACTCCTTTTTTCCTCACTAAATAAAGCTGCTTCTTTTTAAAAATTTCCATGCCTTTTAAAATACATCACTTTATAAAGGTTTAACTATTGTTCCATGGACATATGTGCGATAACCAAATTTTAGGGGAAAAAATGAGTTGCATTCTTAAACTAAACCAAAATTATTTGGAAATTTGATCTAACATTTAACTAAAGTAAATCATCTATTACTCTATTAAGCGCTAGTGGATTTACTATTGCTACATAGGTTTTCTTCTAAAATGTACTTATAATTAATTCTTCCTGCTCTATGAAAATGCCTTGTTCTTTCTTGTCTTTAATTTGCTGGAGGGCCAAACAGAACGTGTTAAAATCTGCTGAGACACTAGAACTCAAGTGAGGGCCTCTAATTCCATCATCTTCAAGTCACCTCTGGCCAACACGTGAAAACCAAAGTGCACTTGAGGGCACGGCACTCACAAGGCGACAGGGGAGACAGGAAGCCAGCTGCTGGCCACTGGCCCGTCGGAAGAAGACCATGAAACCAACACCACGATGGATTTGGCAAAATAAAGAGGTCAGAAATGACTGTTAAAAATGAATGGGAATCATTTTTTAGGTATCACGAACAAGTAGATTGTTTTGCTTTATTGAAGAAGGTAAGTAATTAAGAGAAGACCTAAAAAGACATTTTAAACTATTCTAAAACTTCCTGTTTGTGAAACCAAACTCCAATTCATGGTGTTTGAAAGAGTAGGAATTGCTATACTCTAGTGTGTGTGTAACCAGTATTTACATATATATAGAAAATATATAAACCAGTATTTTATATATATGTATAAAGTGTTTACAGAGTAGGATTTGATTGCAAATGTTGATCGTACGCAACTGTTTTCAAAGAATCAGCATATACTGAACTATATTTGACATGACATCTATGTTCAAGACAATTTCATAGAGTTAATGATTCAGAAGGCACATGAGACTCACAACACCTTCAGAGAAACCACACTGAATAATTATCATCGGCTTTAAATGCATGTAAATCTCTTTTAATACAGAATTCCAGAGACCTGAATAACATAAAGGACAGTGAACTAAATTATGCTGAGAAAAGAATGTAGCTTCTTTTTCATGGTGCGGCTGAATTAAAAATAAAGGTAAAAAGTGTACATGGTAGAGCAGTGAATACTCTGTACAGCCCCCTGTGTACCCAAGCTAGGTAGGAAAATGGCTTTGAGATTTAAAACAATAAGGACAGTCTGGTCATGGCTCTCCTTGCTGCAGGGTTCTAGGCACGCGAACTTCTCAGTTCCCCGACATGCCAGTGCTGGGACCCAGTGGCACGTTGCCTTTTCTTCTTGCATATCTGGCAGCTGTATCTGCCGATTAAAAACTTAGAAAAAGGACGTACCTGACTCCCCTCTCTCCTCCAAAAAATAGCAGGCTGGGGGTTTCCCGTTGCTTCGCACTGAAAAGTGACCGTCCGTCCCAAGGCCACAACCTGGTCCCGGGGCTTCACGATGAAATGTGGCGGTTCTAAGGGGACAGCACAGATGAGACCAGATTAAGAGCATGCAGTTTTGTCCTCACGGCACAACTTCAGATTCTCTAAGCACTGCCTTTATGTCACACAGTACGCTAGCACAATAGCAAGAACGCACCAGTGCTCATCCTGAACCTGAAGCTGAGATGCTGAGGGCATATTTGCAGAATAAAACCAGTGTTTGGAGAAGGTTTTTATTGCCTGGCCTAAGGCTAACCTCCATATTAAAAGGGATTCATGAGCTGCAATTCCTGGCCCTGCACGTTCAGCATACACCTGAATTTTTATGAATAAATATTGTCTTTTCTCACTGAGCTCTGCTTGAAGGTGAGTGGACTTTCATCACCCATATGCGTGCCGCCGACGCTTTAACTCAGAAGTTCCTGAGAAGCCTCCGTGCAAATTGTAGACATCTTAAGATCTCTGGTCCAATTAGGAGGACAGGAATGAATTTAAAGCAATCTGGAGTCAAAAGCCTTCCGTTTACAAAGGCGAGGGTGTGTTCAAACAGAATCTACATGGAAATGAGGGCAAATGTGGAACATCTGCTCATCCTGACATTACACATCCCGCCAGCTTTGTCCAAACTCTGTGATTTACACAGACTTAAAGGGCCACTCCCTTCTGCAGAAAAGAGAGTGTCAGAAAATCACGCGGTTCCATGGAGTGCCAGGGCAGTGGGGAGAAAAGCCATGGGCCGGGGTGCTGCTCCCAGGTAAAGGAGCCCTGTTTTCAGGCTCAGCCTTGGGCTTGGAAAACGTGTGCTGATGCACGTCTTTGTACCTGCCGCTTACCCTCTTGCAATTCACTCCCTATCAGTCTGGAACCCTGCTGATTCCTCTCTCCTTCCCCAAGTCAAGTGAAAGCCAAGGGGCGTGTCAAGCCAGACGCTTAGCGGTGCACTTAACAGGACAGGGCTCCACTAGAGTTTTTATGATTTTTTCATTATTTCTAACCTTTTCTTTAAAAAATATTTTCCATTCCTTCTCAGTCAGTTGGGGTGACTCAAAGTGAAAATGAATCAAAAATTATATTCAGATTATGTCCACAAATGTCACTGCTCTGCTCACAAGAGTATAACTTCTTTGTTGATGGAGGGCAGCATTTGAAAGCATACTTCTCTCTTGCTTACTCTTTTCTGGTCAATTGCATCTAACATACACACATATGTACAATATATGATGTAGATAAATTTACAGATTTTATAAATGCATACATTAAAAAAATAGCTGAAATGACCCTTAATCTGGGTATCTGAATAAATCTAATAAAAGAATACTAAAGTTTATTTAATATGCACATTAAATACATATATTTAAGTTATAAAACTCCTTATAAAAAGTAAATGTAAAATGACTTGTTGATGATTGCATGGTGGCAAAACTGAAGAAAGTAATTAAATCTCCTAACTTCTAGATTAGTGTTCTTTCTTCTACATCCTCTTTTTTTTAAAAAAAAACAAAAAACAACTTGAGGTTTAGTAGAAATTATACTATTTGACTAGAAAATTATAGGAGACCTGAAAAATCAGGCCAAGTGTTTTCAAATGTTCTCTAACTTACAAGGAAGAAAATACGAAGCTAGGGAATAGAGTTTAAGTTCAATTTGGTAATGCTGAAGTTCTAGCATATAATTTTTTTAAAAACTGTGATTGTAATTGAACAGCTCACTCATGAATTCAGCAAACGCTGTCATTACCCAGGTATAATAACAGGCATGTGCCGCATCGCTTGGGGTTTTCCTCCAGCAAAATCTGTATGGCGGCATTCTAGTCCTCAGTTAAGGGTTGAGATAATTGACGTCGAAATCAGACCAAGAAATGGAAAGGACTGGCTGGATAATAAACTAAATCCAGACCGGAGTTTGGTTTGCTTCAATGAAAGAAATCCAAATGATTAATGAGATGACTGGGAGAAGACGACTTTCCAATATGCAGGGAATTTGAGTCGGAAAATATAAATGTTCAAACCACTTAGTCAAGTAAAAACTTCGGTGGTCTCTTTCCTAACTCTCAGAAGCATGCTTCGGAATGTGCGCCACAGTCTAGGTTTCTTTTATAAAATGCCAGTTCTCCTCAAGCCTCAAAGGCTCGTTTGAGAACAAGGAATATAAACCCTCATGCTAACGACATTCATCCTGGAGCGATCCTTCCACGTGGGTTCTTTGCCTGGAAATCAATTTTCTGTATTTTGCAGGCACATTCCCAGGCCAACATCAACAGTGACATCAGCCACAAGACATGTCTTAGAAATACAACTGTTAAACGTCCTCTTCTAGATGAGTGTTAAATATCAGATGTAGATATATCTCTAAAAAAAATTAATAAACTAACGATGCTTCTGTCTCTCAATCTATTATCCTACCCATCTGTGTAGATTCAGAAGATCATCTGTCAAATGTGCCTACTTGATGTTTATGACGAAATACTGGAATGTTTTTTGAAAGCTATCCTATTTAAACTTGCTATAATAAAAAAATACAAAATCGTACTACTCATGTCATTTTTGCTCAGGGTTGAAAATTTGGAAACTTAGACAAAAAGGAAAAAAGAGAAGCTACCCATAATACTACCATGGAAACTGGACGATATTGTCTTAAAATATTTGCCTATAATATCACTTTAGTGACTGTTTTAGTAATCAATAGACAAATTACCTTGAATTACTAACTTAATCTTAATTGTCTTAAATTTAAATGCTACTGTTCACTTTTAAAAGCAATGGTTATATTAACAGGCTTCTCACAAGTGTATTCCAGGCTATTTCCCAGCCGTAGAGTGAAAGGGCCCGAGATACACACGAGCGAGTGCACACAAGCGAGTGCAGCTATGCTGTGCTTGGGAACATGTTCAACCAACTGGTGTTTTCACTGGCAGCTCACACATCACTCTTTCCCATCTTCACTAACACTGGGCATTAACACGCTTGCCGAGCCAGGAGCAGACTCTCCTCCTGACTTTCTTATCTTAGCGAGGTGAAACTTTTTTCTTCCATTACTTTGTCATAAATGTCTTGTTTGTTGTGCACATTTTGTTCATAGGCATCTATTTTCTTTTGATTCCTAAGAATTGGTGGTAGGCTAAAGTTTTAGCCATTTGGCACATATATTATGAATATATTTTTTCATTTTATTAATAGTCTTTCTAATCTGTTTAGGCATGTTTGTTGGTGGAGTAATACAATTATATAACAGATGGTATATAATACATAATAAATTATGCAATGGTCAACTCCATTTTCATCCTGTATCCTTGTCTTTATTGCTTTTATGCTTAAATTTGATCCATCTATATTTTTTTATGGTATCATCTAGAGAGCTATTTTTTTCAGATAGTGTATTTAGTTATTGAGCAATCCATTGTATCTGTATTAATATAAAATGTCACTTTCACAATATTTGTGTAACTTTTTAACTTAAAAAACAGAGAGAAAGATTCTCTTAGGGCCAAAATCACCCCCCGGCATACTTTTTGTCACCCTCACGTAAATGACTCTCCAAAGGGTGTTCTGGCAACCTCATAGAAAGCCTAAACCTCTCTCAAGGAAGGGTTTGGACACTCCACGGCCCACTGTTCATATGGTGATAAATGTTGATCAAATCAAAATCTGACAAGCTTTGAACACATCATACAGTTATTTCCTACACAAAATGAAATGAATCTGACACACAGAAAATAAATGTGACAGTCCTGAGTGCGAGGCTGCGTGCCAACAGGATGTTCAATGACTATCACAGGCCAGGCATGGTGGCTCATGCCTGTAATCCCAGCACTTTGGGAAGCCAAGGTGGGAGGATCGCTTGAGCCCAGGAGGCCAAGACCAGCCTGGGCAACACAGCAAGACCTCGTCTTCAAAAAAATTAAAGAATTGGCTGGGCGTGGTGGCACACACCTGTAGTCCCAGCTACTCAAGAGACTGAGGCAGAAGGATCTCCAGGTGGTAGAGGCTGCGGTGAGCCATGAGTGTGCCACTGCACGCCAGCCTGGGCGAATGAGCGAGACTCCTGCTCAAAAAATAAGAGAAAAACCATCACAAGACAAAAGTTATAAAAGCTCAGATAGACAAGCATAAACATTTTTTGAGCCAAAAAAAATCTCAAGTCATCCTGGGGGCCCGGATGTCTGTCTAACCTTGTGGTCTACTGAAATGGGATTGGACCGAGATCCAGTCCTGGCACTTGTCCCTCCTTTCAGGACAGAAGAACACGCGAGGGCGGGGCACACGATTCAACAACACGAAGCGAGCAGCCGTTACCTGGGCTCGGGCACAGTTACCCACACGTGCCGCAGCGTGACTCTGCAGTCTGTCTGAGGCCCGTGACAGGGACACATGGAGGCGGAGGACATGGGAGGGGATGGATGGGAAGGGGAGGAGAAGTCCACTCACAGGGACACGGTGATGAGAAGATGGCCAACAGAATGTCAACTTACCAGACCCAACTAAAACAAAGCAAAGAGAAAAAACATGGAGTGAATAACACGGGAAGTGAGATGCAACAGAAGAGTCCCAAGACTTGACTTAGCCACGCCCCCTCTTTAGCATAAAGAACACCATCAGGGACCCGGCTCGCACCCCCTACGAGCCAATAGTTGTGAGCATCTTAAGCAGAAACATGACTGACCCAGGGAGAACAGAAACGAGTCTTAAAACCTCTATGAGGATTAAATGAAGGAGCTACAATGGACTGTAGCTAGGCAATTATAAAACATTTCTCAATGAGTTTACATTTTGCTCCCAGACGACAGGCTGGATAACGATACAGATAATGGGCTTAAAAACACTGTGCATCTTCACTGTTGAGGCTTCACAGAAATAAAAACTGAGGATCTTAGACAAAGACAAAGAAGGGTTAAGTCCTGTAATGCCATCCTCAGTGGAGTTTTCGCAAGGTTCATGCTGCCGATGGCACACTCCGAACCCCATGCTGCTCATACTTGGGCAAGCAGCTGACTCAGTCGAGGTCTGGTTAAAACACAGCTCAGCACTCGGAAGGTCAAGGGTGTGTCCTGAGGTTCTGTGTTTCTGACGAGCACCAGGACCCTAAGTTCAGTAGGAAGGTTATCAAAAGGGGCTGCATTTAAACGTTTGCCTATTTTTAATGAAGATGCACAGAAAAAACTCAATTACCCTATGAGAACACAGACAACTTTATAATCGTTATCTTTTAGTCATAATCATAATGTCCATTTTCAGTACTGAAACACTGGGCATTTTAACACAAAAAGCTCAAGTAATATATATTTTTAAAATACTGGAAAACAATTATTTTGTTTCTGTCTTCATTTTAGAACCAAATGTAATCTGTCAAATGCAGAACTTTTGAATAATAGCCCAGTAGAAACCCACCCTACACTTTACTCAATAAATAACTTCTATATTTTCCACAGATCAAACCCAATTTGATCGGATACACATTCCCATAGTTTAAATAAATGCTAAAGCTGCTGTTGGTAAGTGGTACCGTTATAAAAACAGAGACAAAAGTTGTCTTCACTCTTGCCACTTACACAAACGCTAAAGGTAATTCAGAAACTCACTTTAGGTTCCCTTCAACATGAGTGAAATATTTTGTCTTTACTTTTCATTCCAAAGAAAAAAACCGAAGCATACTAGTTCACCCACTGAAGTCTGCCGACCCTAGCATCACCAGCTACGCCGTCCGGACGCAGAAACACAAGCAAAGGGGCAACGTGGTGATGTGCCTTGATCCCTTACAGACAACGGCTTTTCAACAGCAGGAAGAAGCGTTCAGAAACCACAAAAGAAGGGGCCTGACAAATGCAGCAATAAAATTTTGCCTCGAAACAACACAAAGTTGTAAAATTTCTTTTGAATTAGTGTGCAAACTAAATTTGACTTTATTAGACTGAAACAGTTGAAATAAAGGCTTTTTTCAAATCAGGAGACTGTTCCTAAATATGTTAATATAGTTTCAGTTATTTTAAATTCCTTAAATATCTCAAAAATATCCACTATGTCGAAAACAAGGACATTACTGAGAAGGAGCTCATTTAAAATTTTAAAAACACCCTTTTCTCGCTTACAGTTTTTACCAGCTGTCAGGCCATACAGTGGAATCCTTTTATTAATTAAAATCCAATGAGTTTAAGAACTTCAGGCTAACACATTTGCATATCACATCAATGGCAAATGATAACGGAAAAATATTTTACGGTCTATCAGGGACCTTAGATGTTATCCGAGGACGGCATCTCACAGAGACACTTCAACAACATTAGAGGCTTCCAGGGGCTCCACCTTGAGTGACTACGGAAGCTTTAACAGCCACGATTACCGGAAAAGAGTTCCTCGATGGACGTGAAAACCTGCCTGTTTGCCACGTAAACCGCTTTCATTTGTTCCAGCTTCAGTAACGAACAGAAGCCAGAAACACTGTGCACGAAAAGCCCTTTCACTCACTTGAAGGTGAGCAAAGGAAAGCATCGGCCTTAACTTTATTCGCGAAGGAATGAATTGCGAAATGTAAGTGTTTCCTGCACGTCCCCAAGGGTCAGGTCACAGGACGCTCTTCCAGGCAGGAAGGAGCGGGAGGGCAGAGGGGCAGTGGGCGCCCCCTCCTACTGGCAGGTCCGGCCGCACTCCCACCCAGCACCTTCAACCCGTGCCCTTTCTGCTTCGAAGGTCATGGCCCCTCGACCCTGACTCCCACCCCGACACCAGAGAGGAAAAGCCTGTCTGTGCCTGTGTCTAAGAAGAATATAAACGCAGGCGCTGGAAGAGACCTGAGAACTTCCCAGTCGAACCTGCTTCTTTTTTCACAAGGAGACAGACAAAACATACTGCAGAACGACGCTCCCAAGGGCACAGACAGCGGACCCCGGGCTGCGCCTGCAAGCTTCCCACTGGTCAGTGCCCGGAGCACCCCAGCAGCAGGTGCGGCACACACGGACGTCGCACTCAGCAGCCGCCGTTCACAAGACCAAGATCCTCCTTACCACGAGTACAGAGGATGGCTGGCTCCAAAGAGCACTCCACAGTGCTGCAAGTCTTTTAAGAAAACTCAGTTACAGTTTTAGAAAGAAGCAGAGGTGACCAGGGGGTTCAAGACAGACTTGAAACGGCTCAAAAGCTTATTTTTATAATCAAAAGGATGGCAATCATTTTTTTTTTAAAGGGGAGCCGATTTTAATTATCTCATCGCTTGCATCACTTGAGATTGTTAGATACTGAAGAAAATTCACCTTTCTTGAAACATAAAAACAATATATTTTCAAGAATACTTTTTAAAGTAAACAGGAAGACAAAATAACTTTTAAAAGTGTGTGTGTGTGTGTGTGTGTGTGTGTGTGCGCGCGCGCACGCGCGCACGTATTTTTTTGAGTCTGTATCCCAGGCTGGAGAGCTGTGGCACACTCATGGCCACCACAGCCTCGACTTGCTGGGCTCAGGTGATTCTTCCACTTCAGTCTTCCAGGTAGCTGGGACCACAGGTGCGCACCACCACACCCAGCTAATTTTTTGGCCTGTTGTAGAGACGAGGTCTTGCCAAGTTGTCCAGGCTGCTCTCAAACCCCTGGGCTCAGGCAGTCTTCTCGCCTCTGCCTCCCAAAGTACTGGGGTTACAGACATAATCAAAAGTAAGTATATATTCTTAAGAGATCAAAATTTGCTTTTTTTTTTTCATAGCAACATTATGCAGTATCCCCAGAAACAGCTCTACATTTTTTCATAATGAAGGAATTTTGGAAAGGAATGAGGAGTTAGGGAACTTGCCAGGAGGCTCAGTTTGTGTGGAAAGCACACAGTTTCCACCTAAATTAGATTTGGGGGGAAGGGGGAGTGATGCAAAGTCTAAAATATATATTATGTAAAAATTGAAATCCTACATATAAATGTATTGTATAATTATGAAATTCTCTGGAGCCTTTTGAGTGTAAGACAGAAAAGGGACAAGTGTCTTTAAAAATACCAGAAAATAAAAAATATTATATAATTGATGAATAGCTTAAAAAAACAATTGTTTAAAAGATTTGGGGAAATTTACGCCCTCCCCCCCGCAATCGCAGCCACCAGCACTTCAAATATAAGACTCTCTCTCCTTTATGAATGTGATATCCAGTACTCCAGACTACTGCTTCATTTTGAAATCTTCGGAATTTGAAGAGTGTACACCTCTCAGACAGTAGCCTTTAGGTGCAAATACGGTGAGAAGCTGAGCGAGAAAGGAAGCATGAAGGAGGGAGGGAGGAAAGAGCGAGACAGGGAGGAAGAAGCTTCCTCTCATTTCTTCTGTCTGCTTGTCACACTGAGGAGATCACGCATGGACCAAGAAGATGGCCGATGGCTGAACAAGTGTGCAGAGAAGTTGGAGGGAAAGACTTGCAGCTAAATGGATAAGAATCCCTCAGACGGGGTCTAATGACTCCCAGGTTGGGCCAATCTTGAGAACCACTGGACTCCCAAAGAGAGGACAGTGACGGCCTAAGTGACCGTGTGACCAGCTTGGGGACACCTCAGAGACGGCAGTTGACAGTAAAGGTCGCTAGACCACGAGTTAGCTGCCCACGGGAGTGGGGTATCTCCAGATGTCTTTACAAATGACATAGCTTTCCATCTGGCCGCATGGTTTAGACACAACGCTGCCTGGCTGTGATTTTAAGAGTCTGGACGCTCAGGAGCATTTAATTTTTAAAACTGGAACGACAGAAGGCTGCCACAGTGTTGGGGTCTAAAATACTTCAAATATGACTCTGTAAAAGATGTTATCGTTAAGGAAGTTTATCTACAACAGGACAAGACCGACAGTAAATACCAGAGAACAGCAGCTTTCTCTGTGGGCTACAAGCGGAATCATCTAGACTATGGAATTTTTCTGCTGATTCATAGACATTAGCTTTCGTTATTAGTAGCTGAATTCTAATAAATCCTTAAGTTAATGGATCTTTTTTCATTCTCATCTACAGGGCGCAATTAACAAATCTGAAAGGCTAGAATTTTAGACACCACATTCAAGGCAATATGAACGGAGGAAGGTAGTGAGTTACCACACTTTGGGGAGAAACACATTCTTATTCAATGAGAGAAATGCACATTCTCAGGCAGCGATGCTATCCACATCTGAACTGATAAGACAGTCGCTGGTACCTGGAGAAATTATTTGCATAGCTACTCATGAATGATAATGCCTCTAACAATTAAAAACTCTTAGCTATTTTAATACTAGGTGTGATTCCTCTTGGGGGAAAAGATTGAGTTTAACATAAAAGCCTGTCATCACGTCTTTCAACTTTCAGACATAAAAACAGAGAGATTAGAGAGGACGTTTTAAAATATATTTAATGGATAAGAAAACTACGATGAACTTTTCCCCTCCACCCCAGCTCCTCGCGTTACCCTGCAGAACGGCAGTCCTGTAGACAGCTGCGGCTGGCTGGCACGGCTGATGCGGGGAGGGGGTGCCCAAGGCCAGCGATGTGGT